CCCCACCCCCACCCTCCCCCCCACCCCCCCCCCCCCTACCCCACCCCCACCCCCCCCCCCACCCCCACCACGTTCCCCATGCTGGGCGCCCTGCTGCGCTCCCGTCGGCGGGCGGTGGTCCTCGTCCTGCTCGGCATGCTCGTCGGCTACGCCGCTGTCATCGCTTGGGTCGACACCACCCACTACAACCGCTGCCACGCCGCCCACCTGGTTGCCCCGCGTCGCACCGACGACCTGGACCCGCGGAGTCTGACAACCTCCGCTTCGACCCATCTCCCGCCAAAGCCCGTCGTCGACCCGCTGCCGCTTGCCACAGCCGAACCGTGGAGCCCGGTCATCGGCGCTGCCGCCGCCGCACGCCAGCGTGCGGCTGCAGACGCGCAATGCGGGGCAAAGGGTCTGCAGGTCGCCGGGAGCGACGTCCTGGGCATCCTTCCCTCTGTCGTTCACACCTACTGCACTGGCCACGTCGCCGCGTCGGACGCCGCACAGATCACGCCGCTGGCAAGCAAGCTGGCGCACCTGGTCTCGCCCCTCGGAGAGATGATTGTCGCCACAGGCTCAGTCATCTCGGATCTCGACGCCACCCTCTTTGCTGCCACCATTGACTCGCTCCGCTGCGCCGGTGTCATCGATACCGCCGCCGTCCTTGTCCTCGGCCCGATCCGCGACTCGGACATCACGACGCTCCGCGCCGCCCACCCAGACGCCAACCTCGTGCACTATCCGGGCGACGACAACGCCCATCCAGGTGCCGCTCGCTTCGCTGCCCTTGCCGAGCTTCTTCGCGCCGGTATCTCCGTTTTCCACGTCGGTCCGACTGCCATGCTCATCCGCGACCCGCTCGCCAACGGTGGCGTCGTCCGCGATGCTGACGTCGAGGGCATCACTGCCGGGTGGGAGACCTCCACCCGCTATGGCTATGGGCCATGGTCTGATGACCCCACTATGGGCTGGGGCCGCTTCTGCATGAACATGCGCCTCTTCGACCTCTCGCCGCAGCTCATCTACCTCCGCGCCACCCTCCCCACTCTCTCGCTCCTCGACCGCGTCGCCGCCACCCTCGCCGCCGACGCCTCGGCTGCGCTCACCTCGCCGCCAGACGACATCGCCAAGCCGACGCCGGTCGCCCCGCTTCCGGGCGCCTCCGACTCGGTCGCCGCCACACTTCATCTCGAGTCTTACTACTTTAATGCACTTGCGCTTCCGCGCCACCACGGCGCCTTCCTCTTCCCGCAGCCGAAGATCCGCATCTTGGAGCCACCGTCGTTTGTCACTTCGCTCGACTTTTTCACCATGGCCGACCGCGCAAAGGCAAGCATCCACCGCCGTGGCATCGCCCTCGCTCTCCTCCATCACGAGCCGACCGACGCCAACGCCAAGGTCCCTCTTCGCCTTGCCAGCCTCTCCGCTTACTTTTGCACCAACGTGCCCCAAGCCACCTCGGTCTTTGCGACCTTCCCACGTGAGCAGGTCCCGGCCGGAATCCACAAGGACCACTCGGCCCGAGCCTTTGTCGACTGGCCCAACGAGCCTGATCTTGACTGACACTCTTTACTCGCCCGGGCTCCACACCACGCGCCGACCACGCTTCGCAGCCTGAACCCGCCGCGCGTACGTCAAAAGGCCGACCGTCCCACGTCCGCCTGCGCTGCTGGGCACCGCGATGCCGCTCCGCAGCCCGCCGTCGACCGCTGCCACGACTGCAGTCACAAGCTGTGGCGCACGTGCTTCTCCCAGCCCGTCTCCCGCCGTCGCACTTGCCACAACAGCCCGACGTTCTGCTGGGAGACGCTCGCTCTGCCGCGGGCCCACAGCCAGCGCTGTCGCGCCGTACACAGCCAGCACTGCTGCTACCGGCAGAACGCCGCACGCCGCCGCCGCAACTGCAGCCACCCCACTCCATCGCGCTGCACGCAGTCGCCCGTCGTCACCGTATTCCTCAAGCACGTCCGCGGCGAGCGCCCACGACGCCCAAACCACCGAGGCGCTGACGGCAAAACGCACTGCGAGCATCGGCCCGACACAGCCGCCAGACGCAAGCACGCCGGCCACCAGTGGCATCACGCTCGCCAGCGCTGCCCCATCGGCCCGGGTTGGAAACGACGCCGCTACTGCACCAACCGCAAGCGCGGCAACCGCGCCTGAAACGTCGCGGCCAAGCCCGATGCTAAGCGCGGCCAGACCCGCGAGCACACACGTTGTGCCTGCCATTGACACCACAGGCAGGATCCACATCGGCGCGCCTCGCGACGGCAGCAGATCCTTCAGCTTTCGCCCCTCGACAAGACCCAAGAACGTGCCAAAGCTCCACACAGAAATACATGCCAGCCCCATCCACGGGACCGACCTCTGGAACCGCATTGCCAGCGCTCCAGCCCGGACCATTGACGCCAGCGCCACCCCCCACGACAAGCCGTGCAGCAAAATCTGTGCCGAGCGGACTCTCCGCAGTCTACCGGCATGTGCCAGGACGGCCACTACTCCGCACCAGCACAACCAGGCCGCGGTGAACGCAAAGCTTGCGTCAAACCTGAAAGCCGCTCCTGTCCGCCACGGCGCGCCCGGGTCAAGCCGCAGCGAGATCGGATGCAGGATGCACCCGGCCAGCCCGACAAAGAGCGTGTCAAAGTGTGCGTTGTCGCGATCTGTCACGCGGTCGCGCCCAAACACAAGCAGTGCCCAGTGAAACACGCCAATCGCGATCAGGAGCGTCGTGCACATCAACTCCGACGAGATAGCAGGCGGAACACACCACGGTGCCGCAACTGCCAAGCCAGACCAGACCACGTTCCCGGCGCTTGTCATTGCGGACCACGCCCAGCAGCCCAGCACGCTGCTCGTAGGACCGACCAGCGTGGCCCAGTCGAGCCATTCCACGAGCAACGTGACACTGCTTGGCACGCACTCGATCAGCTGCACAGGGACAAATGCCAGAACAAGCGCGCGAACGAGGCAGTACAGAGCTAGACCAAGGACAAGCCCCAAGGCCACCGCCGGCAGCAGCGGCCGCTGCATCCGCGACGCCCGCATGAGGAAGACCTGGCTTGACTCGACCAGCTGCTCAGAACGCTCCATCAGCACATCGATGCTCTCTCCGCGGTCCAACAAGTTGTCGATGTTGCTTAGCATGGCATCCTGGACGCGAGCCACATCAGCTTCGGCTTGGAAAATCGAGCTGTTCTGGTTGTTGTCACGCCGCATCCGCCGCCGCCGCCGGCGTGCCGGTTGTGGCGGCGCGAGCTGGGGTCGCGTCTGTCCACCAAAACTTGCACTGCCTGCAGCACTCGCCATGTCGTCTTCCTCCGGAGCCGCCTCGCCGCCTTCTTCGTCGACGATCGCGTAGCCGCCGCGTGGCGCTTGGGGTGCTGCCGACACGGACGAGCGTGATGCCCTTTTGCCAGGCCGCTTCTTCTTCTTCTCCTCCTTCCTGGGGGCCACCTGCCCTGCGTTGCGCGGCTGCGCAACTGGCCCCGAGGCCAGGCCACTCACCGGCGCCGACATTGGTGCATCGGCGACGGCGTGGGAGGCGAGCTGCTCGCGTTGCAACGCGCGTCGGCGCTCGTTGCGCTCATCGCGGACACAGAACACGTCAAGCGACCGCAACTCGGGCGCGTTTGCCTCGGTCTGTGCGATGAGCCCGTCCAGAACCGAGATATCGGCGTCGGTCAGCATCAGCTCGTTGACCTCGACGCTGTCGCCGTCGTCGGTGCTTGCAGCAAGCGCCGACGAGAGCGTCGCGAGATCCAGCCGCTGTCGGCCATTGCTCCCGCTTGACTCGGCCATGTACAGCATGCCACCGGTCTCCGCTGCCGAAACTTGCGCGCCGCCGAGACCACGCTCGGCCTCGCGCTCATTGCCCCGCAGACTGTGCCACTCGAGATACGGCAGCGGATCCTGGTACGATGCTGCGGTTGCATGCCAGGCTTCCAGATCGAGGACAGGACTACCCCACGCAAGCGACGATTCCTGGGTAGCCACCAGAGCCGTAAATGGCGAGACAAGACCGAACCGCAGCGCGAGATTCTCCAGCGGCCTGACCAGCGCTGCGGTCAGCCTCTGGTGCACGCCAGGATCCACATCGAGAAGGCCGTGCTCCCAGTCGCTAATGAGCGCCGCAGCCGCCAGCGCATGCACTGTCCGCCCGCGGGTGAATGACAGCGGCTGAGTGTAAACAACCTCGTGAAAGGCGTCGCCGTCGGGCGTCTGCCCACGAAGCGATGCACGGATGCAGTAGTCAACAAAGCCATAGACCACCACAGGCTCGCCCTCAAAGATCGCACCCATCACCCGGGGTGACTGAAGCAGACCGATGGCATTGTCACCAGCGGTCTCCGTGGTCTGGTGCCACTCAACCGCAACGTTGCGGAGCGAGCGAGCAAAGCCGCGCCGCGCTTGCCGCGCCAGTTGAGTCCGCCACAGCGACGACGTTGCCGTGTCCAGCACCTCGCCGGCCCCACCGCCGGCCAGCGCGGGCGCGAGGACCGAGCCGCTCCGCCCGGGCGCCACATCAAAGCCGACGCCGAGGACGCGGAGCCGTGAGGCCTGCGGCGTTGCCAGCACCGCAAGCGCAGCCACAACATCGCGGGCGTGCCCGTTCGAGATCCACACCACAGTTGTCGGTACGCCCGGGGCTAGTGCGCGCGGCGAGCCCAAAGCCACCACGCCGGCTAGGACTGGCGCCAGCGCCACCGGCTTGCTCCCCGGCGCCTGTGCCCTCGCGAGCGGGACAAGAGAGCTCGACGCGGCATGGACCAGCTGCTGCACCGTGTTCGGGCCAAGCGCCAGCGGCTGCGGCGTGATCCACGCCGGGCACCGACCCTCCGCGCCCGCCATGACCAGCTCGACGAGCGCGGCCTTGCCGGATGTCACCGCCTCAGCCTGCAGCGCCTCTAGCATGAGCAGGACCGCGGGCTCTATCTTGTCACCAAGCGAGGCGTCGAGGGCAAGAACAAAGTGTGCGTGCGCAACCGCGCCCGCTCGGGTCTCGTCGGCGACCCAGTCATCGTCGTCAAATCGCGGATAGAACGCAAGCAGCGCGGCGCGGTGACGGCTTGAATCGTCGAGCTCTTCCACCCACATCCGCGGCGCGTGTGCCTGCTCGCACGAGACCGTCACCCAGAGGTCACCGTCAGCCCAGCTCCCTGCGTCCGGCGGCGATGCCACCACCAGCTTGGACGCGGTCTGTTTGGCCACCGCAAAGTGCGGCGAGGCGCTCACGTCGCGAATCGGATACTGGCTCTCAAAGGCGAGAAGCAGCCGCGGCGGGGCTCTGGTTGTGGGAAAGAGCGAACTCGGCAGAGTCAGCCTCACCGCATCACTGGTCTGCTCCAGTTCCTGGACCCACTCGATGCGGACAAAGACGCTCGTCGACGGCGCAACTGCGCCGAGCTCCATCCGAAACTCGCGTGCAGCCTGGGCGTCATCGTCGGCTTGCAGCAGCATCGAGGCTTGGCCTGCAGCCTGCGCGGCTGTATGCGCTGCGCGCGCCGCACCTTTGCGCTTGACACTTGAGACCAGGAGCCGGTCGCCGATCTGGGCCTGGAAGCCCACAACCGCCGCTGACCCTGCCGCAGCCAGTGGAAAGACAAACGCGCTAGTCAACGCCCTTCTCGTTGTGTTGGTGTAGTGGAGGAGTAGCTCAAAGCTCCCGACCATGTCCACCACCGTGCCAGAGAGACTGGCACCAGCGCAGACAAGGCTGACTCCCGACGTTGTCACAACTCCGGCGCAGGAGGTTGGCGGGGCCGACGGCAGCTGCCACGGAATTCCGACCACATGCGAGGCCGATATCGGGCGGAGCGGCGAGGTGGCGCTGACCAGCTCGAGCGGCGGCGGCCCGACGCTGCCGTCGATCTGGGCCTGTGTCCATGACGTGGCATGCGGGTGCACAGATGCATGCTGGGCAGCGCGGATGGCCTTGACCACATCCGGATGACTGCCGATGCCCGAGCCGACAGCCAGACCACAATCGACAGCCGTCGCAACCTGGACTGCGACGACGGCAGCGAGCGAGAGAGCCGACTCATCGAAAACGGCCCAGAACTCGTCTTGGAACGCGGTGGCTACCAGGCTCGACGCCGACGACGCGACAGCATGGACTGCGGCGACGCCGAGGTGGGCATACTCGCCTGGCTGGGCAACCTGCGCCACACGCGAAGCCGAGAGCGAGAACACAGCAATCCAACGCGAAGTTCCCTTGATCGGGAGCTGCGGCAGTCTTGACACGAGGCTGGGGGCGGCCCACGGCTGCGAGGAGCGAAGCGCCGCCTGCAGCGCCGCCGCCGCCGACCCAAACCCGTAGAGCCCATCGCCGAGGGCCGGGACCGAGCCTGGGCCGAGCGCAGCTTCCAGCGCGGCGCGCGAGTGCGCAGCACGGGCGTTGCCGCCAACGAGCGAAAAGATCTGCAGCTCGTTGAGCGGGACGTAGATACGGGTGGTGTTCAAATCGCCGGCACTCTGCGCCTCGCAAAAGACGGCGCGCGGAACGACCCAGAGCGGGGTGTCGGCCGACTCACTTGCGGTACTCCGCAGATCAGGGTACTCGGGAATGAACCGACGATTGAGCGAGAGTGAGGCAGTCGCCGAATCGCCATACGACTCAGCGGCGGTCTGAATCGTCTGCCGCGCACGCGTGCACGCAGTGCTTGCCAGCTGGTGCGGAGGCGCCGAGTCGCCGAAAAACTCATCAGCATCATCATCAGCAGTGCTCGGGAGCCACGTCTCCCACCCAGCAGCAGCCACCAGCTCGACTGCTCGCCGCGAGGTGAGCGGTTCGAGGTGGAGCTGGACAGGAAAGCCGCGAGGCGGCGCGTTGGAATCGACGCCGCGCGGCAGGACGGCGTCAGCAGTAGCGTACGCCTCGAGGAGCAGCTCTTGCGACGCGACAAAAGCGTCGCGGGCAAGCATGCTTCCAGCAAAGACATCGCCTGGCACGACATGCGCCATGACCGCGCGGCCGTCCCATGCCGCGGTGTACTCGGAGGCAAGATCTTGGATATCAGCCGACGGCGCAGAGGCGAGGCGGGCTAGCGCCGATGAAATTGCTCCCAGTTTAGAGTACCCCAGCTCTCGCAGCGACGGGAGAGTATACTCGACATCAGTAACAAGCGATGGATACAGCGCGGCGTCAAGGCCGTGGTAGCCCGCCCTGCGGAGAGCGGCCCGAGAGGCCGGTCGGGCCGCCAGGCGAGACGAGCCGAGGAGCGGCGAGACCGGATCCAGACATGGGACCATGCCTTCTGCAAAGACATCAGCACAGACCTTGGCAAACACTGCCCGCGCGTCTGCCGGAGAGGCACACGGATGGACGGCCTCGACCGGCTGACGGGCCAGCACCTCGGCTTCGACAACGGCTGCTGTCACCGCCGCCAGCGGCGCTGCCGACACCACGACGGCCAGGCCGGCCTCTGCATCCTCCACCACCTCAACCGCGACTATCCGCGAGTTTCCGACAAAAACGCGATACGCCCACCCGCAGGGAGGGTGTTGGCCATGACTTGCGGTGGTGAGCAGAGAGAAGGGTGCTGTCGTACAGGGTTTGGGAGCTTTGGAATTTTTGGTGAGCAATGGAAAGGCGGCCGTTGGCCACGGAAGGAAGGAAACAAGGCGTATGAATGCATGTGTGTATGTACGCGTGTGCGCGCGCGCGCGTGTTTGTGTGTGCATGTATGTACCACGGGTTCGCAGACAACTACTTGGGCGGTGCAGATGGCGGCGAGTACGGCGGCGGAGCTTCGCCACCGTTCGGATCGGCGGACGGATGAGCTGCCGGAAAGGCGGACGGATGAGCTGCGGGGGGCGGGATTGGGTCGGCAGGGTACGGCACGGCCGGGGGGGCAGGCGCGGGGTAGGCGACGGCGGCAGCAGGTGCAGGGTACGAGGCCTGCTTGGGGCGGTGGTTCGGGTCGACGGCGACTGCAACGCCGCCAACACCACCGGGTGATTGATGGAACGGCGGCGGGGCGGGCGCCGCCACAGCACCAGGCTCGGCCGCCGCGCCGGTGTAGTGGATGCGACGGGCCTCATCGCGCATGCGGGTGATCTCGTTGACCCACCACTCGGCGTGGTAGACGACGACGGCAAAGTGGAACTTCTTGCCCTCCCACGATGAATCGTGCGGCGGCGTGGCGGCGGTGTAGATACCGGCGACATCGACTAATGCCATGCCCTTGCAGCAGCAGCAGCAGAGACACATGTCATCGTTTGTTTTGCCATCGCGCCACGCGTTGGCGACGGCGACCGTGTCGATGTACGCCGCCGGGACCTCAAAGTGAGGAATGGTGACCGGCGTGCACCCCGTTGCTGTCATCCGCAGGCCGACCTTGTAGTCCGAGGTAAGGTAGAGGTACCCGTTGGTCCCGAGCTCCTTGGACTGGAAGAACCGCTTCTTGATGTTGAATCTGCCTGCTCCCACCGCCGTATGCGCCACGATGTTCAACGACTGCGCCGCGCTCGGCGTCGGGCCGGCCTTCTTGTTGATGCAGCAAGCACAGTTTCCCATGGCGGTAGGGTGTCGACGAGAACGAGAGGCAAAAGAGGGGGGAGGGGGAGGTGGCGGTGTGTGTGTGTGTGTGTGTGTGTGTGTGTGTGTGTGTGTGTGTGTGTGTGCAGTGGAGGCGGGTGCTACGATTTGCAGGCTTGTCGTGCTCGCTTGCCGCATGCGCCGGAAGACGCGTTCGCAGGAGCCGTTTCGTAACGAGCTGCTGCACTTCGTCCAGACCACCAACTGCCACTCGACGGGCAAGGGCCTTTCAAAGGCTAATGCCAATTAAAAGTCGCCGTTACCTGTTTGATAAGCATATTTTTTTCCTTCGTATGACACTCGTTCCATCAAACTATGGAACGCGCGACTGTTCCCGCAATGCGTCTGCCACGTCGCGTTCAAGGCACCGTCACCCGACGGACACTTGTCGACAGCCCACTCCCCCACTTACCACACACGAGTGGCAGACAAACAAGCAACAGTTACTTGTTCTCCGGCATATCCACTTCTCCCTTGTGTTGTTTGCCGACGTATACACCAACTGCTTCCCGTGCTCTCGGCACTTGCGTGACCCTCACCTCCTCGAGCCTCACTTCGAATCAATCAAGCAAATTCGCCACGTCACACGCAGCTGACCACCATGGACATGGAGTTCCCGACCGAGTCGTCGGACCTGCTCTCGATGTGCCTCTTCCCACAGTCGTCTGAAGCTACACCAATGGCGACGACGGGCGGCGAAGCTCCGCTTGACCCGCTCGACTTTCTCCTCGACGCCCCGGCTGACCAGCTCAAGAGCGGCGGCGAGCCCATGCCGCCGCGTGGCACCCTGGCCGCTGCCGGCCTCTCGCTCGACCTACCTGCTGTCGGCGCCGCCAATGGGCTCGACCTCGACAGCTACCTGATGGGCGACGGGTCTGGGCTCGGGCTCGGGCTCGGGCTCTCGCCCGCGGGCCTGGGCGTGGCCGACTCGGGCACCTCGCCGCTCACCATGGGCCTCGAGCCGATGCTGACGTCGTCGGCGACGCCGCGGACGCTCTCTGCCTCAGCTTCGCCCGAGCCGGAGACCAAGCCGCGGTTCCAGGCGTCCAAGTCACCGGACCCGTCGCGGGTTGCCCCGCAGTCGACGCCGTCGCCAGACCGCGAGCGGCACTCAGAGTCTTCTGAGGACGAGGCCTCGCTCTCGTCGTCGCCGCGGACGAGCAAGGCCGGCACCGGCAAGGCGCCGCAGGCCTCGCGCAAGCGCAAGCGCTCGGCCACCAAGACGTCGCCGGCCAGCGGGCCCAACGCGCCAATCTCGCGCGAGGAGCTCCTCGACCTTGTCTCCAAGGGCCTGCCCAAGCACCTGCTCAAGGACAACCTCACGCCGGCGGAGCAGCGCGAGCTGAAGCGCCAGCGGCGGCTGATCAAGAACCGCGAGTCTGCACACAACTCGCGCCGCCGCAAGAAGGACTACCTCAACCATTTGGAGACCAAGGTGGCGTCGCTCGAGGGCGACAATGCCGAGCTCCGCCGCAAGGTCCACGAGCTGCAGAACCACACCCATGCGCTCGAGGCTGAGATTGCGCACCTCCGCGCCGCCAACCCCAAGGCGGCCGCAGCGTACGCCGCCTCGCCACAAGGCCTCGCCGCGCCAGTCCACTCGCCATTCTCGTCGCCTGGCGCGTTTGCGTCTGCTCGCGCGGCGGCAGCCGCCGCCGCGTCGGCGGCCTCGGGCGCGCCGTCGGGCTCAGGCATGTCGACCAACATGAAGGCGGCTTCGGTCTGCCTCATGGTCATGCTCTTCTCGTTTGGCCTCTTCTTCAACGGGCAGCAGCCGCTGGCGTCGCTTGCGACGTACGGCGGCGCGCTCTCGGCCGCGGGCCCTGCCCTCGGCACCG